GGCATCGCTGCCTGCTCCCCCAGCACCGGCTACTCCTCCTGGGAGCAATTCTCTTTCTCTGCCTTATAGTCATTTCGTGCATTGATCTCCAGGCTTCGGGCCACAGGCCGGGTGTCCTGCTGGGGCCAACGCAGGTGGTGCAGCCTCCTGGCAAACCTGCCCCATTAGGGCAAAACCGCATTTGCTCTGGTGGTGCTGGAGCGGTGGCAGACCCGCATGCAACCTCCCGTTGTCTTTTGCTCGTGAGAGCATCCTCCACCTCAGCCCCCTGGATTTTTAGTGACCTGCCCAGGAGACAGGAAAAGCAGCAGCAAGGACCAAGAAGAAGGCAGCCAGGGGGAAGAGTGGTTTACGGGGGAGGAAAGGAGACCGCAGTCGAGCACCAGGGCTGCTTGGGCCCGGGGGACAGAGGAATCCAGAATAGCTGAAACCTTCAATCCCTTTTCTATTTCTGGAGCGTCTCACATGAACGAAGCCCGGCGGTGCGGAGGGGCTGGAAGGGCACAGGCTCGGCCTCTGCCGACAGCAGGCGCTTCCAGCTGGCTTCAACGGGGCACGAGGGGGTCGTGGCAGAAGACTCACCCTCTGATGGAGACTCAAGGAGATGCACTCCATTAAATTATGGATTTGCTCTCCTCTGGGCTTGTTCTGCTCCTGGTATCAGACGAAATGGCAGCGTCTCATTCACGGAGCCGGGGAGGTGGCCGGGGGCGGCAGGGTAACCAGAGCCCTTGGCACCTCATAAATCTCAGCCTGATGGATGGAGCGGCTCCGCTCCATGCGTGGTGGAAGCAGTGTCAGAGCAGGGGGCTTACTGCAAAAGCAATGACATACTGCTTCAAAAATATTAATAATTTTAAATAGAAAGCATGCCAAAGCATGCCCCTTCCCTGGGGGGGAACAGTGTTGGGTTTCTGCCTGGGGCACTGCTGCTTCCAAGGGTGATGTCCCCCACCCTGCTCCCAGCCGAGTGTCCCTGGGTGCGGGGAGCGAGGTGTCCGATATGTGAGAACCGGGATAAAGGCATTGGCCTGATCCTGTGACCGAAGGGCGGCAGAGTTAGTCTCCGACGGTGGGAGGTGGAGGAGAGGGTGCAATCTGAGACCCCGTGTCCTTTGCGAGTGACCTGCCCAGGCAGCTGGACTCGTCCTCCACCGCCCTTGCAGGCAGCGGGGCAGCTCTTGTCCCTCATCCCTGGTTGCCTCTTTGTGCGAGGGGAAGGACCAGGGCTGGGGCAAAAGTGGTCCCAGTAGCAAATAGGTCGTGAGAACCACAGAGCGACTGTTGTCCTCCTGTCTGTCCTAGGCGCTGGGAAGGCACTGGCTCCAGACCACCACCTTCATCCTTGAGGAAACCTCAGTGAGGCCCGAGAGAGTATTAACGCAGTGGGGAATAGCCACTGAGCCCGGCCGGAGAGTCGAGGGTGTGTGGCTGCCGGGCGCTTGGGGGGCAGCCAGGGGCCCCAGAGCTGTAACGTAGCTCCTGCCCTCGTCCACCAGAAATGCTGAAGCCACCTGAGCTGCCAGCCGGTACAGCAAGTCAGAGATTCGCATTAGTCAGCACAGAGCTGGGCAGTTATATAGTGTATATATCGCTTATACAAGTGGTAAGAGCCACTTCACACTGAAAATCCCCAGCCAGGAAATAGAGGGTGACAGGTAAAACCTCACCGCACGGGGTGCGGACGGAGGCCATGGGGAGCGACTGCTTCCTCCCTCTGTGGGCATCTGCTCCAGGAGGACCATGCCCCAAGACAGCGGCTCCGTGCCAGCAGCGAGGGCCCCGGGCTCCCACCTGGGAGGGATACGTGTCCTGGCTCCGGCGGTTCCCGCAGCGCCCGCACCATCGTTCGGTGTGGTGGAAAAGCACTTCTCAGCGCTGGAGGGTGCTTCTCCTGCGGCGTGAGTGCTTGAGAAAACTGTCAAGCTGTTTAATTAAACTGCTGCCTGTTCGAATCGCTCCTACGGGGCTGGCAAGCTCTGATAAGCTGCGTGTCACTTCCGGAAGTGGATGGCCTGATTTAAAGAGGGCCGAAGAGCAAGCGCTGAGCAGCCGAAGGGAGGAGCAGGGCCCCGGGAGGGCAGCGTTGACCAGCGAGTCCTCAGGAGGCCTTGCAAAATATGGATTGCAAAAGAAACGAGTAACTTCTGAGTGATCACAGTAATATTGCTGTAGGACTATCCCCCGAGCCTCATTAGCAGCTCCTTAA